CCGGGCCCGCCGGCCTCGTCACAGAGTGTGGGTCGGACGAGAGCTACCGCGGGAAAGTGCCTGCTGAGATTCCCACAGTTCCAGCTTTACAGGCCCCTAAAACGCCATCACAGACTCCTAGAACCACAGGCCGGGCAGAGGCCTCAGGAGTCATCGAGTCCAGCCCCCTGCCCAAGGCAGGACCAACCCAACTCAATCATCCCGGCCAGGGCTTTGTCAAGCCAGAACGTAAATACCTCTAGGGATGGAGAGTCCCCCCCCTCCCTAGGGAACCCAGCCCAGGGCTTCCCCACCCGCCTAGGGAAATAGTTTTTCCAAATGTCCAACCTAGACCCCCCCACTGCAACTTCAGCCCCATTGCGACCAGCCTCTCTCCATCCTCTTTGGAACCCCCCTTCAGGGAGTTGCAGGCTGCTCTCAAACCCCCCCTCACTCTTCTCCTCTGCAGACTGAACAAACCCAAATCTCTCAGCCTCTCCTCGTAGGCCATGTGCTCCAGCCCCCGAATCATTCGGTTGCCTCCGCTGGACCCTCTCCGATGTGGCCACATCCTTTGTGTAATGGGGGGCCCAGAACTGGATGCAACACTCCAGATGTGGCCTCACTATTGCTGAATAAAGGGGAATAATCTCTGCTCTAGATCTGCTGGCAACGCTCCCCCACATGCCGTCAGCCTTCTTGGCTGCCAGGGCGCCAGCTGACTGCTAGGCGAGCGTGCTCTGAGTAAATGCCCTTCAGCCAAGCGTGCGCATTCCCAAGCGGCCTGGCTCTTTCTCTGCTGAAAGTCTGATGCCAGGGCAGGCTGGGGAGGCCAGGACGCTGCCAGGGTTGGCAATGAGCTCCGGACTGTCGTGCAGGTGAGACCCACCCGTGGCAGTTAGCCAGGCTGGCAGGGCGGGGGAGCCTCCCGCTGTCTGCCAGGGCTGGAATGGGCGATGGGGGAGGGATCCCTGTTTGGTTCCCTCCCTCTGGGGCCCCTGGCAGTGGCCACGGTGGGCAGCCAGGGCCCTGGGCCGGAGGGGCCTTGCTCCGACCCGGGCTGGCTGCTCTGCTGTGCTGTGCTCGCCCGATGGAGATGTTGT